GCTTCACCATCCCAAGGAAGGGCAGAGGCGACAATGTTAACATCTAAAACCTGGATAATCAAGGGTTGAGGGACAGGCAAAGTCTATAGGACCCTGATACTCAGTGACCATGAAGCCCTAGGTGTCAAAAATTCTGTGAAGGGGGTGGAAAAATGTCTGAGTGTTGACCTTGATAACCAGAGGTCAGAGGGCTCTTATATTAAACTTTGGAGGATACTAATCGGGGGAGGGGAAGGACAGGATTCAAAGGTGGGTCATGGATGTAGAAGTAGCCCAGGGTTTGAGGTCTGAATCCTAGCTGGGGAAAGTTAACCAGAAACCCAACAGAAGCCTCAGGAACCTACATGAGGAGGGGAGAACACTGGGCTGTAGCCAGATGGAGCAACAGGCTGGCCTCTGTGTCTCTGTTCCTAAGGGTTCACCCCTGGGGTGAAGTGAAGTGCAAATGAGATCATGGATGCAAAGAACTTTGCAGACCTTAAAATGCAATATAAATGTTGATTATTTTTGTTGTGAGCCTGCAGTCATGGGGATGGCTTCATTCCCTGAGCCTTCTACTGTAGCCTTGCTGAATTCAAACAATGTTTATAGAACAATACAGGGGTGTGCTGGTAAATATTTAACAACCAGATTAGGCAGGGAGGGAAATGTATGTACTCATACTCTTTTAAGTTTATTCTGCATCAGGAACTCTTTCTCCCTCACCTTCTTAAGTCTAGACAGTCAACAAAACAAGAAATCAAACCCTGATTTGTAGGGATTGGTGATTTCTGACACTGGAAATTTGACATTGAGCTCTTTGACAACAGTCATAGCTGGCTTCAGCACACTCATGGTTCCCCCTCCCCACTCTGGGTTCCATTCTTACTGTCAGCCCACACTGACCATTCAATCTCCTCTGGTTGATGACCTCTCAGGAGCTCTTGTATCTCCTGGCGGCAGCGGTCCTGGTGTTCCTGATGCTGGGCCAGGTTGTAGAGGGCCCAGGAGATGCCACTTGCAGTTGTATCATGGCCTAGGGGGTGGGAAAGAGAAGAAGGAAGAGAATCACAGAGAAGCCACAGGAGTCAAGACCAGAGCTCATCACCTGTCATGGAAAAGAATATCCCCATCTCTCCAGCATTAGTCTCTGCTCCAGGTCTTGAACCTATGGCATGGTATTGATGAAACACCTTCCAAGTTAACCTTAGCTCAAGCAAGGATCAGTGGGGCTGATAGCAGGGGCAAGAGGCAAATGGAAAATCCCGACTCTTTCCCAAGGACTCTCTGCCCTGCCCTTTCCATCCCATTTGAAGCTCACCTCCAAACATGAAAGTGTCAGCTTCTGCCTGGATGTCCTTGTCTGACAGAGCCTTTCCATCTTCATCCTAGAACAGGTCCCTGTCTATGAGTTCTTGGCCCCTTCCCTTCCAATTAGAGATCCTACTTAGATATTTTAAGGCGGAAATCTCCAATCCCTTTTACCTAGAACCACCACCTTAGGTGGCACAGTGGAACTCAGGAAGACTGAGCTCAAATCTAACCTCAGACACTAGCCCTGTGACTCTGGACAAATCACTTATGCTCTCTAACTACATCATTTTCCTCCTCTATAAAATAGTGTTAATAACTAACAGGGTTATTGCAAATATCAAATAAGTTACTTATAAAGTACATATTGCCATAGAAGTACTTATAAAGTACATATTGCTTTTGATAAACCTAAAACTAATCTCCATAATTCCGGTGGAACCTAGAACCAACTCCTGTCCCACAAAGGTCTTTTGATGTATCTAGAATCTCAGAACCCTCCCAGATGAAATCCCAGAACCCTCCCACTGACACAGAATCACAGAATCCTAGAATCTGAAGAGACTCTTACCTAAAGTGTAAATATTCTCTGTTTTTATAGACCCTCCAAACCTTTTGGGTCTTTCTTGCATATTTAATATCCCTTGATAAATCTTGAAATTATCATAGATATTCTAAGGCATACCTAAAATCTGAGAGAATTCCCTAACATACTTATAAATAGCCTCAGGAACTCTCCTCTCCCCACTCCCCACAAAGCTTCTCTCTCCCTTTTTCCTCTCTATCTCTCTCTTCCCCCCTCTTTTTTCTCTCTCCTTCTCTCCTTCCTTCCCTCTCCTTTCATTTCTCTTCCCTCTTTCTCATATATACTTATTTTTATCTTTATCCTATATCTATCAATCATATTTGTCTGTATCTATCAACCTACTTATTTCACCAGAAACTCTTCTGATATGTGGAGAACCAGAACAGAGATAGCTTTGGATAAATCTAGACTGTGTAAAAGTATTCTGGCACATCTAGAATCACAGAGTTACTTTTGAATATTTTTAGAATCCTAGTGATTTCCTTATATACATTGTTGTTGTTGTTATTGTTTAGTTGTTTCAAGTGTATTTGACTCTTCATGACCCCATTTGGGTGTTCTTGATAAAGATACTACAGTGGTTTGACATTTCCTTCTCCAGTTCATTTTATGTATGAGGAAACTGAGGCAAACAGTTAAGTGACTTGCCCAGGGTCACACAAATCTAGGGCCAGATTAGAACTCAGGAAAATGAGTCTTCCTTACTCCAGATCTGTATTCTATCCACTGTGCCAGTTAGCTGCCCTCTTATATACCTGGATACATTTAGAACCAGCCACAGTAATACTTTTAACTTCATCTAGAATTGGGGAAATTCTCTTTATATACCTAGAACCAAAGAGATTTCTTCATTGTTATTAGAATTAGCCATGGAGATGAATTTAAATATATGTAAAAATTCATAGACTCTGCTACTATACCAAAAACCAGTGAGGGGTAGCTATTCTACTCTAGCATCCAGAGGGATAATACATACTTTCCCTGGAAACTCAGTGTTCTGTATAATTACACAAAACTTTGGGTTCCCTATGGAAAGATAGCTTTTGAAGAAGATGGAGACAGTCAGGTGGGTTTCTCTTATTGGTCAAGGCTGCACCCATTCCTTATTGCATTTTAGCTCTGATAACTAAGGCTCTCCTTACACTCCCCTGACACTCCCCTCTGCCTAAGTCCTTCATGCCCCTTATATATTCTCTCCCTATCTTCTTTAGGGCTCCCACACTGCTGACATCTCTCTTCTCCCACTCCCCCCTCCAACCTCAATACTCACTTTGGCCAGTAGGAGAACATCTATGAAGTCAATGGTCTTGCTTTTGGTCTTGTTCCTGAGGAAGGCCTCAGTCCCCTGTTGGGCGAGGATACGCCGTCGGTCCCGAATGACGGCATTTGAGAAATCGTGCACCAGATGGCAGGCATGGGAGAAATGCCTTCCCTGGCTGGTGAGATAGTACAGGGCATCCCAGTATAGAAGTGGCTGATTGTAACGCTTTACCACGAGGGAACTCAACTCCAGGATAGCTGAAATGTAGGCACTCGGCTTCCTGATGAAAGTATGGGGCCAGGGGTCAGGAGTCAGGTTCAGCAGGGAGAGAACCCTGACCCCCATAGCCCCAAACAATTTCTTTAATTTCTTTCTAAACAAGTCCACAACCTCCTCCCACCCCACCCAACTGGTGGGTAGAGAATGGAAAAGGGCTTCTCCAAGGTCTGGTTGATCTTTGTGCCTAGA